GTGTGTGTGTGTGTGTGTAACAAGATGAGGATGCTTGGAACTCGAATAAGGCAAGCAGGATGACAGGAAGGAAAACCAAAACCATAAATGAGGAAAGTCTCTTTTTTTTGTTTTACTTCAGTAGTCGATATCTCATTGTGGCCCATGAAATTGACAGGAAGTAGGAAGGAGCAGGCTTCCTTCCTCCTCCATCATCAAGCACCTCCGCATCGTTTTTCTCGGCACGATCATACATAATCCTACCACCTGCTCTCTTTCTCGAAGTGACGATCTCCAACCCCTCCTCATCATGAAGCAAGAGAATTTCCTCCTCTTCTTCTTCTTCATCATCATCGTCATCACCATCATCGTCATCATCATCATCGTCATCATCATCATCATCATCATCATCACCACCACCACCACCACCAGAACGACAAGAATGAGAAGGAACCGGCAGGAGAGCAGACCGGAAGGACAAACAAGAAGAAGAGAACAAGAGCAAGATACAAAGAGCAATGAATCGAAGGTGTAGAAAGACGAAGAGGAGCAGATGGGGATCATGGGGTGCAAGGTATCCAGTTGGACATTCCAGCATTCTCAGAAGTTATGTGAAAGAGAAAAAAAATCTCAAAGAAAAGGAGCCGAGGAAAGAAAAAGAAGAGTAGGGGAGTAGGACAGTTTTTTTTTTTTTTTTTTGTGGGAATATGAGAGATTAATCAAGTTTAACAACTATTCTTACCTTCACCGCCGCCGGCCGCCTTCTTGTCCTATCATCGTTGCCAAGTTTCCATCTAGTTACGTCTGTTCAAACTTGCGAAAGAATATCCTCCTCGTCTTCCCGCTATTTGGTCAAAAACGCTCAGAATAACACTAAGTCTTTCTCATTGTCTCCTCTTACGACTACTATCAAATGCCCCGCCTCCTCCTCCTCCTCCTTCTTCTCCTCCTACAGACATACTAAAGACGATCTAGCGAATATCTACCCTTCAAAGCAATAAGGAGGAAGTCTACCACAGCAACGATGGGGAATGAAGTCCAGTTCGAGCAGTGTGGAAGGGGCATTATTGACCTACAAACCTAAACAGAAAACATACCACTCTAAATATACACGATCAAAAAATAGAAGAAAACGTGCAGTACGTGAAGGCCAAGTGAGAACACTCTACCCAAACTCTTTCCCACCCTACCTCCCGAGTGAACGAACCAAAAATTTAATACTTTTCTCTCTCTCTCTCTCTCTCTCTCTCTCTCTCTCTCTCTCTCTCTCTCTCTCGCTCGCTCGCTCGCTCGCTCGCTCGTGCGCTCGCTTGCTAGGTTCCCCGACTCTCCCCGCTCCCTCTCACGCCCCCTCTATTGCCACACTCTATTCGCATCTTAAGTATCTATGGTACTGGTTTCTTGGGCGGGATGCCCTCGACTTTCCCGTGACATGGGTCTTTCCCGCTTCTTCTCCTCCCTCTTTCCCGCTTTTTCTCCTCTCTTTCCTCGTAAGCTGAGGGACTACTGCACGGACAGACCAAAGGAAAGGAAAGGGTCTTTCCCGCTTCTTCTCCTCCCTCTTTCCC